CCCCAAAACCCCAAAACCCCAAAACCCCAAGGCCAAAATCTGATTAGATTAGAAGAATTAATTAAAAAAATTGATAGAATATATTTAACATTCAGACTAAAATTTTAATGAAATTAGTGCATCGCAGAGGTTCAAAACTTACAGAAATTAATCCCAGAAAGTTGGAATCATCTTATGGTTAGAATTTAGATCAGACTACTGAGATTAAAGGAGACAACTTTTATAAAACACAATTACAGCTGAAACCCATTAAAATTGAAGATTCAAATTAGAATGTCTATTCAAGTTAGAAGTTTAATGAGCCTAAAAGTATATCAAAGCTTACTACGATTAGATTGAAATCAAGGAATAACTAAAATTAGAGTGTGATTGAGTACAATGATAGTATAGTAGAAAAAAGAAGACATTCTACAATAAGCCAATCTGATACTCGAGCTATGATTCAAAAAAGTAATTACTGTTATAAATAAATAAATTGTTTTAGACCACTCTTAAAACATAAGGAGATAAATTCTAAAGGAGGCAGTAGCTTAAAACAGCAATTACATTAGCTTGAATCTTAAGAATACTACTATCAATCAGACTGTGACAAAGAAAGGTCTAAATTTATAGCTGTCATTGACTAATAAAGAGACTAAGGAGGATTCTCGAAATATGGGCACGAAAATATCAAACCAAACTTAGACAATCTTTTAATCAAGCTAAACTATGCCTAGAAGACATATTAGACCTTAAACTTCACATAAAAGAAATTATCTGATGAATTAAACATCTATTTCTAATGATCCATATTCAGTAGTTGAATCCTAGTAGCAGCTAATGAAAGCAATGAAGTATAACAAAGGGAATCAAAACAGATCAATAAGTACTGTAAATTAATATGATACACTTAATTAATCAATCTAATAATCAGACTTTATTTAGAGCTCATTAAGTCAACTTAAAGATCTTTCTCCTAGCAAAATGTTTGTTACTAGCTTTCAATATGAGTAAGATTCAACTATTTATATTTATATAGTGAAGAGGTTGATTTTAATTAGAAAAATACGATTGATGATATCACTATAGTGCACCTATTTGACGCTAGAATGAAGGATATGGATTTACTAAATAAAGGTTCAATGAAAAAGGCTTTTGAGCACTTTAAACTATATATCAATACTCATTCTAGGTATGGTAAATTAAATCTCAAAAACATGCAGATGGGACTTAACTCAGCTTATTTCATCTCTAAAATGCTATAAAAATCTCGATTTTCGAATGTGAAAATCCTTAATCTTTCAAACAATAATCTTTGTGATGATGGAACAAGGATACTATCATACTACCTAAATGATAACTTATCTTTGATTGCATTAAACCTTTCGTCTAATAATATAACCTGCATTGGTGCTAAGCATTTATTTGAGGCTCTTGAGAGCAATTAATCGATTGTCGATATAAATATATCCACCGAAATAGAAAGTAATACTCCAAATAAAATCGGCCCAGCTGGAGCTTAAATGCTAGCTTAGTTGTTGTTAAGTTAGAAGTTTATAGCCTTTATTAATTTGAAAGGAAATGGAATCGGAAATAAAGGATTTTAAGCGCTCTGTTAAGTACTATAAAATAGTAGCACTGTCCTTTCTTTGAATGTTGAGAAGAATCATATTTCAAATATAGGCTTGGATAAGCTCACCTTAATGATGGAATAAAATGATGAGCCATTTAGGCTATAGGAACTAATAATTGCCAAGAATGACATTGGAAATCAATCTATTGAAAACTTTATGCAAGAATGCTGTAATACGTCACAAATTTTAAACTTAAACATCTCTGACTGTTCCTTTGATAACGAAATAGCTCGAAGACTTTTTAATTCCCTAAAGAATGCAAGATTTCTGAGTTAGATAAACCTCTCATCAAATGTTATCAGTTCTTGTCCAGAATTTTTAATGAAAGAATTTATCTTATCTAATTCTAATCTTCGTATTCTTAATCTCAGCTAATGCCAAATGGGAGATCCAGCAGCAATAGGCTTATTTAAAGGTCTTTAAAAGAACAATATACTATTTAACCTCAAGCTTAGACAAAATCTTTTGACTGATGCTGTTAGTGATCATTTATACAATCTGCTCTAGTGCAAAGTATCACTATTGAAATCATTAGATTTATCTCAAAATTAGTTGACAGATATTACAGGAGTAAAAATTGCAAATTCCCTTGAAACAAATATGATTATGATCTCTATAAATCTTTAGGGTAATAGTCTAAGGACAGCTTCTGGAGAAGCTTTTTCTAAGACTACAATTTTAAACAATACAATTTAGAAGATTAAATTGCGATTCAATTTGATTAAATACATACACATGAAATCAATAAATGCTAATCTAGATAACAATATTGCCAATAATCTTACCAAAGACATTCCGTACAAGAAAGAGGAAATTAAACGAATGAAATTTGAATAAAAGAAAAAAACTGAAATTACATCATAGATTGAATAGATCAAATCAGATAAAGATGTTGAGTAGAGTGAAATTATGGCTATGGAAAAGGAATTCTTAGAAATTTAATTAGAGGAAGAATAGAGGACGAAGAGATTGGAGGAAGAATTATAAAAGTTACTGAAAAAGAGAAGAGTCTTAGATTTTGAATTTGGATTGCTTGATGATAAGGAATAGAAAATTTAATGGAAAAAAGAATAGGAAGTCCAGATTCTTAAATCTGGTATTAATGGAATAGTTGGCATGCTTCCTGTTTATGCTAGAGATATAAAAGAAGGTCAAGAAAAAAATAAGAAATTAAGGAAAGAGTTTAGAGAATAGATTATGGATTTAAAGAGAGAAAAGAATATTGAGAAAGACAAGGAGGAAAATTAGTTCTCAATATATAAAATGACAAGACGAGACCATGATAATTAAGTAAGAGAAATTGAAGTAGAGCAAAGATCTAAAGAACTTTAATAATAAATGATGGAAGAAGAGAAGTTGAGACTAGCAAGTCTACCTTAGACAAAAAGTAAGAAGCATAAGAAAAATAAGAAAAAAGATAAAAAGGATAAGGACTCAGAGAAAATGTGAAAAAGTATATTCCTTAGAATGAGTTCAAGCTTATTCTTAATTTCATCAATAATACAATCACTTCTAAATGAAAATAATAAATAAAGGGGTTTTGGGGTTTTGGGG